AGCTGATTTTACAGTTGTCCAATGCCTCATGCCCTTCAATGCTACTGCACAGCCACTGTCACGCTGACAGTTCAACTCATCCTATAATTGAGGGAGAAGAGAAAAATGAGCTCTGGTTTAACTCCATCCTCCATGCTCCATGCACACTCTTCTGACCTTAGGAAAATGCCAGCATTGGGAGAAATCTGGATTTCATAAATTAATGTCTTGGCGTCTGACTTTGTCATTGGCCCAAAGGTGGGGTGGGGGAACTGAGAAACAAAGAAAGTAGCCCCTGCTATCTCAGAAGAGTGTGCATAGAGTGTAGACCTCAGTGTCGTTGCAAGCTGCTCAGATCCAATAGGACCCTGTTCTTCTCTTGTTTGCTTATTTATTTTTAAAACTTAAAGTATAGTCCACATACAAGATTACATTACTCTCAGTCATACAACATAGTGACCTGACATTTAACATACATCAGGAAATGCTCACCATGAGAAGCATAGGTACCAACCGTCACCATACGTTAATTACAACGTTCCTGATCGTATTCCCTATACTGTACTTTTTATTTCCGTGACATATTTATTTGATAACTGGAATTTGTACCTCTTCATTCTATTCCCCTACTGGACAAGTCATCCCAGTTACTCTGAGACCACGAAAAAACAAAACAAGACCACTTTATGATTTTACCTAATCACAAACAAAAGGGCACTGTGACAAGATACCCAACCATAGAACTCTCCTCAACTCTGACAGCCCCCCACCACCCCGCTTCCTGGGACCCTTCCTCACATCACGCAAGCAGAACCCGGATCTTCTGATGAGGTTCTTCTCACACTCTCTTCCTGAGACACTCTGGTTTTCTGCGCGTTCTCCTTGGCTTCAAGGACCAATAAAACCAACTTCCTACTTCTCTGCATTTCTCATGGTCTTTGGTTGGAGGGCAGTGACAGTGTCCATCACGGTCATTTAAATTTCTCAGCCCTTGGGGCGCCTGGGTGGCTCAGTGGGTTAAGCCTCTGCCTTCCGCTCAGGTCATGATCCCAGGGTCCTGGGATCCAGCCCCCGCATCGGGCTTTCTGTCAGCAGGAAGCCTGCTTCTGCCTGTCTCTCTGCCTACTTGTGATCTCTGTCTGTCAAATAAATAATAAAATCTTTACAAAAAATAAAAAATAAAATTCTCAGCCCAGATAGTAAAGCAATGCTGTGTCTGATGGTGACTGTTCAGGCTGTTGCTTTCTTTTACAATAATTACACTTCTCAGATGCCCTTGACTGTCTCTCTCCTATTCTGGTCTTGCTCTCTCTCATTCTTTTTTTTCCCCAAAAGTCTTATAAAAAGATATTCAAAATTGTAGAAAGTGAGTGAATCGGGGGAAAAAATGAAATAAAGAGACAAGAAACAGCAGTGAGTCAGGGCCCAAATTTACCCAGAATGAACATCATGAGATCCTGTTTTCTTTCCAGATGACAGAATTTGGCTATGACTTGCCTAGAACTCAAGGCGAGAGTGAAGTACAATTTGTTGGGTAATTCTGTGCCTGTAAAAAATAAAAGTGAAAAAGTGAACCAGTGGCTTGCGGAAAGCCACCTGTTCCAGGAATAACCCCTTAGAAGAACGTTTCCTGCTCCCATGAAAGCTAACGAATACCAAACATATCCACAAGGGAAAAATCCAATGACATGTTTCAAGGCACTATCCTTTGCAACATCCTTCTAAGGAAGTGTTTCAGGATCCACTGCAATAAGAACTGCCACCCTTCACTGGCCACTCTGCCGTGCTGACACCCCCACCCCCCCCAAGAAGCCATTCTTCCTGCGCATGGGCAATCCCCGGCTGGCTCCATCCATCCGCAGGGCTTTGAGGAATGTCAGTTATCTCTTTCCAGGCCTCCCTGGAACCCCGTGGGCAGCTGGTTGAGGTGGAGGACCTAGTCCCTTCCTTAGGATGGGCCCTGTGTCACCTGCAGGTGATAGCCAGTCAAGTTTCCCTTCCTTCTTCCTGGCCCCAGAGCCATAGCTTTCTCCGGCTTCTCTGATGGGAGCCCCCAAAAGCAAGGGGACTGAAAATACCTGAGGTTCTTTCTTTGTCAAAGATCTATAATAAATACTCTGGGAAGGGACACACAGGTATTTGAGTACCTTTTGTAAGAGCCATCAGCAGTAGCTGGGGCGGGGGTGTCTTTATTTATTTATTTATTTTTTATTTATCCATTTGACAGAGAGAGTGCACAAGCAGGCAGAGCGGCAGGCAGAAGGAGAGGGAGAAGCAGGCTCTCCGTCGAGCAGGGAGCCCTTTACAGGGCTTGATCCCAGGACCCTGGGATCATGACCTGAGCCACTCAACCTACTGAGCCACCCAGGCACCCCAAGCCAGGGCCTCTTAATCCCTTCTGCTGGTTCTGTTTGTAGAGATGTCCAAGAGCCTCAAGGGTCAAGTCCCACAAAAGGGAGCCTGCTTCTGCCTCTCTCTCTGCCTGCCTCTCTCTGCCTACTTGTGATCTCCCTGTCAAATAAATAAATAAAAAATCTAAAAAAAAAAAAAGAAGATACATTAAAAAAAAAAAAACAACAACTGCCTTTCAGAGAGCGAGTCTTCAGATCACACTTAAAAAATTGTGGTAAGGTACACATGACATAAAATTCTCCTTCTGAACCCAGACTACACTTTTGGGACCCCTCAGAGGATGGCTTTAACAGAGCTGAGCTTTGGCATTTCATACCTGCCTGCTGTGTCGGGAGACCCTGAGGAAAATCCTTTTTGTGGGATCCAGGACCACCTCCCAGCACTGCCATACCAGGTGGCTCCTTGTCGACCTCCTCTTGCTCTAGACCAACACCATCTAGTGGAAATATTCTGGTCATCTGTGTAATTTTAAGTGTTCTAGTAGCCACATTAACAAGTACAAAGAGAAAAAAAAAGTAACTTTAGTAATATATTTTATTTAACCCTATATATCCAAAATATTATAATTTCTACATGTAAATCAATTTAAAAATCATTAATGAAATATTTTACAAGCTTCTCCCCTCCCCCCACCCTTAAGTCTTTGAAATGTGATGTTTACTTTATACTTAGAGCATATCTCAAATTGGACCCTAAATTTTCACTGGAAATATTTGACCTGTGTCTAGATTTCAAAATATTTACAGTTGAAAAAAATTGATTCACATACCCAGCATGTCCCAAACACACCTTAATGCTTTTCATAACCAAATGGAGTATCAGCTTTATTTTATTTTATTTTTAAAGATTTTATTTATTTATGTGACAGATCATAAGTAAGAGGCAGGCAGGGGGTGGGGTGGGGTGGGGGAGCAGGTTCCCTGCTGAGCAGAGAGCCCAATGAGGTCCTCGATCGTAGGACCCTGAGATCATGACCTGAGCTGAAGGCAGAGGCTTAACCCTCTGAGCCACCCAGGTGCCCCAGAGTATCAGTTTTAAAAATAAGACTCATTAAAATGAAATGAAATGAAAACCTGAGTTTGTCAGTTGTACCAGTTGCCCACACGTGGTTGGTAGATACTGCGTGCCCAGCACGGTTCTAAAGCACAGGTTCTTGAGGGTTGCAATTTTTTCTTTCATTCTCAGAATCAAACATAGGTAGTCCAGCACGTAGAGGTACTGAAATGTTTGTTGAGTGAAGAGCTAGCAGGGTTAGGACTTTCAACAAAGGAACAAATCAAGAGCATAGCAACATGTTTATGGAACAGGAGGGGCCTGGATCTGTGTAGCCCAACTTCTCTGGGATAGACCTCCCTCACCTAAATCCTTTTAAGATTCTAGAGAACCCTCCCGTCCAACCCTGTGTGGATGTTTCCATACATCCACGAAACCTTGCAATATCCTTTATACAAAGGGAAATGAGCCACGGGCCAAGCTCTGTCCTACTCACCTAGTTTGAAATACTCTCCTGCCTTCAGGGAAGAAAGCTGACCAGTAGGACATTGTTGTCACAGATCACAGAAGAACCTGAGAAGCCACCTGAGCCTCCCTGAGCCACAGAAAAGCACACATGGTTGGGAAGCCAGGGTCAGGCCAGAATGTGTGGACTAGAGGACTGAGGGTCTGCTGGGGGCCAGCTGGACTGTGATCCTGTGGGGAGACCTCCACCCTCCTGCAGGCCACCCCCTCTGTCTGCCCTCTGTGGCAGGACAGGTGACTGGCCAGGCAGAGGACTCCCCTTCCCCCTTCAGTCACATTCTGTGTGTGACACCATCAACTCCCTGTCACTGTCCTGGCCACGTAGGGACATCCTGCTGACTGGCAGGGCATCTCTGGGACTGCACCGCCTAACCCTGCCCTTGGCTGGGCCTGTTTCTGGATTTCCATTCACAACTTCAGTCTCAAGGGTCATTGATTCATTTCCGCTTGAGCTAAAGTGTCTCAGCCACGTGACTGAAGGGCTGAGGCTCCACATGCCCTGAAGGAAACACTGAGACCAGGGTTCCATTTCTCTGGCCCTAGTCCTGGGCGGTAGTTACCACCCACCGATAGTGTTCTCCGGGGCTCGTCTTGGGAGGAATTTTCAGACTGGCCTGAGTCCTGGGCTTCCCGGGACAGGCGCTACTTTACACTCCCGGTTTGAAGGACCCCGCTCTTTGGCTTTATTTTGGCAGCCAGAGACTCCCCTCATCCCTGAGATCTGGGCAGCATAGGGGCGAGGCGGAGTGATGCCCAGGGAGAAGAGGGAGAAGGGTGTGCGCTTTCTGTGATTCAGGCTCGCCCCCGAGCGCCCCGCCAGCTCCCAGACCTGGAGAGAGAGCTCCGCACTGGACAGGGAGCCGCGGGCTGTCGGGGAAACCCGGCAGCCCGAGGCCAGGAGGCCATTCCCCACTACACCCGTCCTGCATCCGCCGGGCAACGGCCGACGGAGCGCGTCTCTCCTCACAGCGCTTGCGCCCAGAGCCTCGGGTGGTAGAGGCTGGCCGGGGCGGGGCACGGCACAGGCCGGGCCTAGGAGCGCAAGTAGGCCCCGCCCCGCCCCCCACCATGAAATTCCAGCCTACTTCGGTCTAGGCGTTACGCTGAGACCGCGAAGCGCTTGCAGACCATGGCGGTGATCTTGGGTTATTGGGACATCCGCGGGGTGAGCGAGGGGGCCGCCGGCCTGGGTGGGAAGGAGATGAACGGGGGCAGGAAATGCTGTGCGGTAGACACCAATACAACCAGAATGTTCCTGCTCAGGACTGGCTGCAGTTCAGCCCTTTCCAGCGGTCTGTCTTTCTCAGGTGGGCACGTTTCTGAATCCCCTGTGTGTATGGCGGGGTGGGGTTGGGGCAGCGGGGTGGGGGTGGGGGCAGCGGGGAGATGAGGAGGGGGTGCCGATGCATGTATGTGCACGTGTTCGCGGGTGGGGGCCCTGGCGTCTGTAAGGGTACCTGCAGCTGTTAAAGGCACCGACCTTGGGCGTCTCTGGCAGCTGGCTCACGCGATCCGCCTGCTCCTGGAGTACACAGACTCACCCTATGAGGAGAAGAAGTACACCATGGGGGACGGTAATAGCATCCACCTCGCAGTCTGACTTTTGGCCTATTCCTGCTGATCTGGTACCCAGCACCCCATGCCCTGGCCACCTGCAGCTCCCTCTGCCGCCCTCCCCCAGCTGGAGCAGGGCCTGCCCTTCCCTAACTCCTTCCAGGTGCAGCTGGCCTTAGGAGGCAGGAATGAGAGGGCATTGCTGGACCCTCTGTATGGGGTTTGGGATGGGTTCCCCTTAGGGCTTGCATAAACATTCTGTAAGCTTACTCATGCAGGTTCCAGAGCCTTTTAAGCCTTCCTAGCCCCCAAACCCAGACTGTGATATTTAGTGTCCCAGATCCCCCTTTTGGAGAGCTTGGCCACTGATCCTTGGTGGGCGCCCTCCAACCCCCAACCCCCTCCCCAGACCCAATGAGAGTGGGCTCTGGGAGGTTTGTTTCACTCCATCTTCTCCACCACAGCTCCGGACTATGACAGAAGCCAGTGGCTGAATGAAAAATTCAAGCTGGGCCTGGACTTCCCCAATGTAGGTGCAGGGGGTGGCGACAATGTGGGGGCAAGTGAGAGGGGGTGTCTACACTGCCTGCTTTCCCAGCTCCAAGGTGACCAGATTTGCCGGCTTCTGCTAGCTTCTCTGCTTCCTGGTTCTTGTCCCTGCCTGTCCCCCATGCTCTCTGCTCCAGCTCATTCCTCCATTTTACAATGGATTGATTAAGCAGCTAGCAGGGGCAGGCCGTGTGAGTGCCAGGTTTCGTGTCTCCCCTTTCTTAAGGGAGGGGGTGCCGGGGAGTCCGTGGCCTACCCACCTGCCCGTGTTGTCCTTATAGCTGCCCTACTTAATTGATGGGACTCACAAGATCACCCAGAGCAACGCCATCCTTCGCTACATTGCCCGCAAACACAACCTATGTGAGTGGGCTGGGGTCGGGATGTGGGGAGCGGTGGGGTGCCCCTGGGCCTGCCTGGGTGGGATGCTGAGGGTGAGTGTCTGTTGTGTTGGCTGTAGGTGGGGAAACAGAAGAGGAGAAGATTCGTGTGGACATTTTGGAGGACCAAGCTATGGACACCTCCAATGAGCCGGCCAGGGTCTGCTATAGCCCTGACTTTGTGAGTCCCATCCCTGGGAGCTGGGATGGACAGGCTTTGGACAGGACACTGGACTCTTGTGTCCCCTCAACTTTGTATCTATTTGCCATTTGAACCCTGTGCAGCTACTGTTCCCCCAAGCCAGTCCCTATACTGTCACTGCAGTGACAATGCATGGGATGAAACTCTGCCTCAGTTCTTGCTATTCTTAATAAGAGTCCAACTGCTCCCCGTATTGGAGCCCAAATCTCTGGAAGCATTCCAGCTTGGTTGGAAATTCAGTTACTGGACAGTTGCTTGTTCGCTCAGCACTGTCTTCCTGACAGCCCCAGGCCTGAGCACAACTGGCCAGCAAGCAGAGCAGGGAGATACGGCTTTGTACCTCCCTCTCCTCTGTCTCTCAAACTCCACACCTTTCCAGGGACTGCTCAAGGACCGCTGCTATCTGTCTCCCAGCAGGCAGAACTGGGGACTTGTTTCCCCAGGCCATTTCAATTGATTACTTCATTGCCTCTTGGAGATGAGTGGTGACAGATCTAGGGACAGCAAGGTGGGGTTCTCTGCCTTCCCACAGCCTCCCACAGGTGGGAGGTGGGACCCAGTAGGATCTGCTGGACACAGCTTGGAGAAATCATCACCTGGGCAATGATGCCCCCTCCAGAGGGGGGCTAGGGCCGCTCACCTCTGGCAGCTGGGGGTCAAGCACAGCCCGGGGACACCTGCCTCTCTGCCATGGGAGTCTGAGTCTAAGGGTGGTGACGGCTGTTCTGTGCCTCAGGAGAAACTGAAGCCTGGGTACCTGGGGGGCCTCCCTGACAAGATGAAGCTCTACTCACAGTTTCTGGGGACGA